GAAGAGTTGCAAGCATCTGCAAAAATAAAAATATCTTGTATCAATTCTGGCAGAATAAGTACTGTTTGGTATAGTTAGATGCAAACCCCACCCCCACCCCCCCGATTTCTGTAAAGGGGATGTTGTGAATCTCTCAAGTCATCTTTCTTTGTTGAGGAAGGAACAGTAGACTAGAATATGCTTTTTTAAGTAACTTTCAATAACAGAATAACAGAGTTGAAAGGGACCTTGGAGGTCTTCTAGTCCAACCCCCTGCTTAGGCAGAAAATCCTATAATACAATTGCAGACAAATGGTTGTCCAGTCTCTTCTTAAAAACCTCCAGTATTTCAGCATTCACAACTTCTGGAGGTTGCTGCACTGATTAATTGTTCTTATTGTCAGGAAAATTTATCCTGAGTTTTAGGAGGCAACTGAACTTTCTTGTTTTTTCTTTGAGGACGTATCGCTTCTCATCCAAGAAGCTTCTTCAGCTCTGACAGGATAGTGGGGAAGAAGCTTCAGTCAGAGCTGAAGAAACCTCTTGGATGAGAAGTGAAACATCCTCAAAGAAAACAAGAAAGTCCAGTTGCCTTTTCAGAAAAAAGCACCTTTGGGACAACCATGACCTGGATGACTGAGAATCTCTACAGACTTTAAGCAACAGTAAGCTATGTCAGTTCAGGAAGGGGGAATACTGGCCATCCCTAAACTTTGAAATGTTTTATAATCATAAAAATAAGTTTCTTGTGTTTGGGATATATTTGAGTTAGAAATAAAATAAGCACAGCAGCAAAATACAGTTATTGTAGCTTTATTTATTTAGCATATGGAGATGGTACATGATACTAGTTAATACGGACTAGTTGTTTGGTTGCCTAAGATTGCTAGTCCATTTGGTTCACACTCACGCCGCGCTATCCAAAAGTACACCACAGGGGGCGAACTAGCTCTGCACTCAGAATATCTAACATTATCCAAAACGTTTTCCCTCCACTGATGTAGTCTCATGTTCAGGAGTCACATTCAGGCAGGTCTGGTACTGGTTGGGTTCAGCTCTGGACATGATTCTTTAAGTAGTATAGATCAGTGTTTCTTAACCTCAGCAACTTTAAGACGTGTGGACTTTAATTCCCAGAATTCCTCTGCCAGCAGAATTCCCCAGCTAATCCCTAGCCAACTTCTGAGAATTGAAATCCATAGTTCCATAAATCCATAATCCTTAAAGTTGCTGAGGTTGAGGAATACTGGTGTTGAGTCCTTGTGCAGAAGATCTCCTTTGTCTTCATTGAACTGCAGATTGCCCAGCTGTCTTGCAAGGAATATAAATCCTTCCAGTCCCCTCCAACTATCCTGTCAGAGCTGAAGAAGCTTCTTGGATGAGAAGTGAAACATCTTCAAAAGAAAAAGCAAGGAAGTCCAGCTGCCTCCTAAAAAAGCATCTTTGGAACAACTTCCTGGATTGTTTCATTTTTGAGAGGGGATGTTGACCATTTACATGAGATAAAGATGTTCAATTTTTATTGGGGAAATCTGGCATTCCTCTAAATATCTACTTACTGTTTCAGAATCAATTTATTTAGTTACAACCCTGTCATTCATCACCAGTTTACAAAATAAATGATATAATGCTATTATATGTTTATAGTTGTGCTATGGACATGGGCTTTCCTGACTGATTGCGTTTTCGTACATTGTAACTATAGTTCTTCTTAGGTGTATTCAGTGTACACATATCCAGTTTTGTTCCTACTGTTATGATCCAAAGGGATTCCCTTATGTGTCTGATTAATTTCAGAGACATTATAATATCAAATAACAATTGAAGCAATTATTTGAATTCCACTAAATAAAAAAATATGTTCACATACGGCTTTCCAATACATTCATCATTTCTTAACTGCAAACATTGATGGAAATTCATCAGAACTTACATTAAATAACAATATAAATTCATTGTTTGTATTTGAAATATGTCAATACATTATTCCATCTAAAACAACGAAATAAGAAGCTATGCGGATCCATTTGCTAATAACATTGAATGAGGAAAAGAAAATCTCTTGTTGGCTGCTTTTTGCAATTTTGCATTTCGTATAAGCAAGCATTCTTTTAAGTTCTTCTGTTAAGAAGTTTTGCTGTTTGAAAAGAATAGCATTGTCCTATGCAACTAGGGATTTTGGTGGATGTTTGCTTATCATTGAATAATCTGCCCTAACTTTGTCATTCTTAATCCATTAAAAGCCAGGCCTGCTTGTAAATCCACAGGTATAGATAAGAAGTCACTATTTGACTGAGTCTGAACCCTTTTCAGATGAAAAATGTCAGTGGCAGAAAGGGAGACTGAATTATTTTTAAAAGGGTTTTCAAAGATTCTCATGATTCCTCTGCTATCAGTTAAATTTGACATGTCCATAGACATGCTTCCTTTTTAATGGTTAAAAGCAGGCAAAACTGCTGTTTCCATGTTTTTCTAAAACAAAAGCAAAAACATACTGTATGTGTTAATGTACACATATTTCTCCATAGATTGAACAGAAAAAGGGATACTTTTCAAAAATTACCCATCAGCCGGCAATGAAAAAGTACGGTCCTTTTTGCTATTTTGCAAGGACACTGGTGTTAGGGGAGAAGAAAGAACACAATTTCAGTGATCTCATGTTAGGAATAGAAGATAGTTATTCAGTCTGAATTTTTATAGAAAGCCCGTTTGTATCTTAAGAGCCAAATTTCAGGATATTGTTATAAGTTTCTTTGCAAGTAAAACATGTAAACCATAATAATACATTAAATACAATTTCATACAGAAATGCATATGCCAATTGCAAAAGTGCTCACAAAAATGTATACATAAGGAGAACCTACACAAGAATACGTACAAAGCAGTGGTGCGTTTCAAAATAGTTTACCACCGGTTTGGTGGGCGTGGCTTGATTGGTGCACTTTGCACATGCGCACACACTTTGTGCACAAATGCACACTTTGCGCAGGCACAGAGGCTTTCCGAGTTACCACCTGCAATCCTGCACTCTCCCTGTCGCTTCAGCAGCTGATACGTGGCAATCTGCTGTGCAAAGCAGCTGTACTTCAAAAACAGGGAATAAAGGTCAGTATTGGAGCCCAGGCGGGCAGGTGGGCCCAACAGCAGCTTCTCAGAGAGAACCGGTTCAATCTCCGCTGATCTTCGGCACTACCGGTATGTCAGAACCAGGCCAAACCGGTAGAATAGCACCACTGGTACAAAGGCTATCTTTCTTTTTGTTGGATATTTAGATTAATGCAGAAATAAAACTTACCCTCAGGATGGCTACAAAACAAAACGGACAGATTTACCATCCTACATCTAGGGCAGAGATTCCTGGCTTCTATCCGATTAACTAATTGAGAGTAATATAGAAAATATGACTCAAACTAAAAGGAAAGAAAAGTCCCGCTGTGCAGAATTGACAGGCAACGAAAATACCAATAGAGTGTTGAAAGATGAGAAGTGAGAAAACAGGATTGTGTCATACTGCAGTTATTTAATGAACTGTGAAAAGTGGTAAAAATGTTAGAACAGTGTTTTTCAATCTTGGGAGCTTGAAAAAGGGTGGACTTCAACTCCCAGAATTCCCCAGCCAGCCATAACAGAAGGCTCAAACCAGTCCTTTTGAAATAGTTTTTTATTAGTTTTTAATATAGTCTACAAAGAAAATATAAAAGTATATAGTAGGGAAAATAGGAAAGGAGATAGGAAGGGAAAAGTGAGGGAAAGAAAAGGGGAAAAAGAAAAAAAAAGGCATTGGCTTCTATCCAGCGGTGGTATGCTATCGGTTCGGACTCGTTCAACTAAATAAAAAAAGTCTCCCATGATCAGCTGAGAGGAGGGAAAAAAGCTTCCTCAGCTAAGAGGAGAAAGAAGAGAAACGGCAGGATCGTCCCTGCCACCAGCCCCTGCTCTTTTCTTTATCCTCTCAGATGATTGGCGCTGCACGCCTCAGCTGGTGTGTAGAAAGCTGTGCGTGCGTTCTGTGCCTGCACGATCACCAAAACTGGTAGTGGAACAGGTAGGATCCCACTGTTGCTTCCAACTCTCTTTGGTGCCATAGAATAAGGCATTAACATCAAACCTCAATTTTTTTTACATAATCGTATTAACTAGCCATTTCTATAGCAACAAATCTAATCAGTGAAATCCAAAATCAAAGTTTCATTTTTTTTCCACCTTAAGCACAAAGTCAAGAAGACTAAATCAGTCCTCAGAAGAAGGAAAAGGCAAACTGATTCCAAAAATGTTGCCAAGAAAACTGCTTGGACTTGTTTGACTCAGAAGTATGTCCCCCTCTCCCTTCCCAAAAAAATAAAGTAACCCACCAACATAGTATCAACTTTTAATATTAGATTGTACATAAGTAAACGTGAATACTTCTAGCTGTTCTGTACTCTTTGGATGGGTTTTAGAGTCATGTTGGTTTCATGAGTCGTGAGTTTTAGAATCATGTTGGTGACTGATCTAAGAATGTTAGCATGTTTGCTTATATACAGTTCCTTCTGTCATAGTTTGAGATAGTACCTTTATGACAAGTATATACTATACAGTACATTGCCAGATATAGTATATTCTTAATTTACATATAATTACATAATTGCATAAAATGCAATGAGACTAAATACAAGGAATATGATACATTTGATAAACAGAAATTTACACAATAAGGATAACTGTAAGGAGGGAAAATATTTTCTGAACAACTCAAAATCATTCAAATAGTTATAATCCAATCCCTACCCCATTCATATGTGAGTCAATGTCAAAGGTTTCTGTACTTGTTTGTGACATTGGCCCACAGGAAGATGGGATGGGGATTAGGACCCATGCATTATCCAATGACTGCCCTCTTGTTTTGGCCTAGTCCCCATGGAAATGACCTTGTATATGTATGTATGTATAATGTCTAGATTTCGGTTGATTAGGAAAGGTAACAATGGAGAGATTGTTGTGGGCTAGTGTGGCAAATTCTCTTTATTTTGTTTGCTTCTCAGGAGAATTGGAGATGCTCCAGAGGGATGGAGAGCGCAAGATCCAGAGTCGGCAACAGCTTCCAGTGGGAACAACATGGGGGCCCTTTGCTGGAAAAATGGACTTGAATAACAACACACTGGTATGTTAAGAAGCAATGCACCAATGTTAAAACTTTGTTTGTTGTTCTTTAATCTCTTTCATTTATTAGCATAAATAACTAATGGCATTTAGCCCCCTTTCTCTTAAGTCTTGAGAAAAATACTGAAGGCAATGTCCTTTTGGTCTGCTTTTAATTGTTAGTGGATAATAGCAAATGTACTTGTGAACTTCAATCTGTGTTTTTAATACCTTATACATGGCTTTTGTTTTTTTTAATTTTGCTAACTTCCTTGGATGTTTGCTAGAATAGAAAAGCAATTATTAGTTCAACGAATAAGTATAGGTAGTTCTCAATATATCAACACAATTTGGATCAGAACTTCCGTTTTTAAATGGAGAGATTTTAAGTGAGTCAAATCCAATTTTAATACCTTTTTGCTATAGTTGCTAAGCGAATCACATGGCTATTAAGCAAACCTGGTTTCCTCCATTGACATCGCTTGTCAAAAGCCCTTAAGATAGATGGTGATCATGTGATCTCAGGACTCTGCAATCTTTGTAAATACATGCCAGTTCCCAGGTGCTCTAATTTTGATCACATGACCCTGGGGATGCTCTGATGGTCCTAATTGGGAGGACTGGTTGTAATTCACATTTTTAGCACTGTAATAACTTCAGATAGATGTTAAACAAATGCCTGTACATTGAGGAAACGCTACAGTCCTTTAGCTTGTGATATTCAGCTCTCTTTTCTGTAGACATTTTGAATCATTGTTTGGAATCTGTAGGGACAAAATAGAATAATGACTGTAGGTAAACTTAAATTAGAATATTAGCCTGTTCTAGATGAGCCTGTACTTACCATCAAATGGCAGTTCATAGCTTGAGAGTTTTTGTGGTCCCAGGTATGTTATTAGATGCTTAGGCATAAAATGTTTAGTTTCCATAGTTTCTGCTGGAATTTCATCTACTTTTATTCCTACATTCCTATTGCTACATTTCAATGGATTCTGCTGTTAGAATCTGTTGGCAAAGTTGCTGGATCATATGGTTATTTTTATTAAAACAATTTCTTTTTAATATATGATATTTATTAACAACCATATATAAATTCAGGTTACCATTTTTGAGACTTTGAATCACTGTTATGAAATACAGAATACAGAATAATAGTAAAAATACATTTAATTGTAACAAACAAATTGCAAACAAAGAGTGTGCTTCATTACTAATGCACAATCTGGTAATAGGCAAATATACTCAAGTCAGAAGTTGTTACTATCCTTCAGAATTATGAATCTTATATTTACAGGCTTGATTTAAAGTTCTGGGTTATTCTGAAATCTCATGAAAACTACAAATGATATTAAGAATATTGTATGTATCACCCGGCTTTTATTTCTCCATATTCCACAATGCAGCACAATATACCTTTTATTAATTGGCTATTTTTACATTACATAGATCTATTACAATTGCTTTGTGTGGGAGATGGGAGGGAATGAAGAGTCCAGCTGAGCAGCTTCTGTGGTGGTTGTCATTGATAACAGATAACGGATAATCAGAGTTGGAAGGGACCTTGTAGGTCATCTAGTCCAACCTCCGCTCAAGCGGGAGACCCCATACCATTTCTGACAAATGGCAGTCCAATCTCTTCTTGAAAGTCTCAAGTGATGGCACTCCCACAACTTCTGAGGACAAGCTGTTCCATTGGTTGATTGTTCTCACTGTCAGAAAATTTCTCCTTATTTCCAGGTTAAATCTTTCCTTGTTCAGTTTCCATCCATTATTCCTTGTCTGGCCTACAGGCGCTTCAGAAAGTAGCTTGACCCCTTCCTCTCTGTGGCAGCCCCTCAAATATTGGAAGACTGCTATCATCCCCTGGTCCTTCTCTTTACTAGACTAGCCAAGCTCAGTTCCTGCAACCGTTCATTGTTTATTTTAGCCTTCAGTCCCCTAATCATCCTGGTTGCTCTTCTCTGTACTTTTTCTAGAGTCTCAATATTTTTTTTATAATGTGGTGAACAAAACTGGATGCCATACTCTAGGTGTGGTCTTACTAAGGCTTTATAGAGTGGTATTAGTACTTCCTCCTTCTCCTGTCATTGAAGTTTGTTGATAAAATGTTCTTTAATATACACATTTGATTATTAGAAATAATTTGACTTCAAATAAAATGTAGCATGCCACTCACTGCAATGTTGTGCCTTGCCTAGAGGATAATAGAATTAAGGCACTGATAATAGCAACAATTTTCACAGAATATTTAGCAACTCAGACTTCTTCTCCTGCTCTGAAAAATGTCTCCATATTGGTTATACATAAGAAGCATATAGAGCAATGGCAAGAAAATCTAACAGTAGTTTAACTATTACATGCTTTCTGCCCCTTTCAGGAAGCATGCAAAGTGGTTAAAAATAGGTGTAACTTCCAAGGTTTTATTTAGGGAAGTGTTTGTCTAAATATTTAAAATCACAGCTTTTGTCTGTTGGACCATATTTCTAAAATATAAATGTTTAGGAATATATTGTATGTGTTAAATAGAATGAAGAACATTAACCTCAGAATTGTACTATGAGATTGACAGCTGTTTAACAGTTCACCGTGGCCACATATGATAGTCATAATATTCTTTTTGGTGAAAGAAATACCATAATTATGTCAAAAATGCACAATTTTTTCAACCCTAGTAGTAAGCATTTAATGAGCAGCATTGTGGTCTGGTGGTAAAGACACTTACCTCCCACTCAGAAAGTTGAGAGTTCAATCCTAGGTAGTGGCAGATGTTTCTCTGCTAGGGCACAAAGAAAAAAAAAATCTGCTGTGAACTTTGCATGGTGTCAGGAAGGGCATCCAGCCAGCAAATACTCATCTCCATTTAGTCACCCTGACTTTACCTTGAATTAAAGGATTTGAGGATAATAAAAAGGGAATAGTAAACATGGTTCATAGGAGTTTGGTATATCTCAGAATTTGCTATCTTTCATTGAATCATTTGATACTGAACAAGGTGATTGCAATTTAGCAATTTCATTGTACAGAAATCATTTAAGTTTTTCCTTTACTCAGTCTTTAATAAAATTTAAACACTGTGTACCTCCGTAAATTGGTTTATATTCTAAGAAGTATTACATGCCTGAGTTTAACTGAGTGGTGATTGGCTCTGGGGAGCCAACAGATTAATTAATTCAGTGCAGTAATTAATTGAGTAAGTGTGCCAGATGTCAAACACTCTTTGAATGGTTCATATTTCTATCTTGAATTATATTAACAATGTATATCTCAAAATACTGAGGGGTTGGTTATGTTGAATAAATGGATAGAAGTGTCATTTATTGCTGCAACAACAGTGAAAGATATTTGGTCAAAATCAGCTAGGATGGATGAAGAATTATGAAGGGAGTTAGCCAAAGGACCTGACTCTATTAACCTAAACAGAACTTGCTAACATGAGGTCATGAAATAGAAGCTTTAGCAGATGAACTAAAGGAAACATGCCAAATATGGCTGATTCATAAACTAGGCATGAGCTACGCTTACATAATAACAGTGCTGAAACCAAAGTGTCAAAGAATTGACATCATTGCTTTGATCGCTTGTCATAAAAACCTCTACAATTCTTTCTTCCTCCACAAAATTATAACTCTGATTCTGCATAATAGACAGCCTTTGTCTCTTGGCGCTTCATGCTGCTTTATTTTTAGCCATTTTTTTTCTAAATAGGCTTTATGAACATTTTTAGCTAACTGTGGTTAGAACTGGGATGTGCATGACAATTGTTGAACGTCATATGGTCATTGCTTTTAGGGGCTAAAACGGCATGTGGATTGGAGTGATTTTGTGGTTGTAATGCAGAATGAGGAAGAAGGACAACTGAATTTCTAACATTATTATTGATCTTAGGCCAAGAATCATTGTTCCATAGATTTATCAACCTTGCAGAATTTTTGTGCAGGTACAATAAAAATGGAAGGCAGGAGAAGAAGAAAGTATTGTAAACTGCCCTTGGTGTTTTATGAATTTTATCTTTGAATACAGTAGGGCTTTCAAGGGCAATATTAAAGGCCATTGCTTCATTTTTGAACTGTACAGATTGTAGGACAGGATGAAATCAGTTCTCTTTTAGAAGATTTTGGTGTCAATCAATTTGCAAGGTTTATGTTGATGTCCTGTGATATAATAAATGATGGTTATCTTCAAGGGTTCTTAAAAATTAAGCACCTAAAATGAATAATAAAAGTCTGACACTTATTTTCAATTCATTTTTATTTTGGTCTTTGAAAAGCATAAAATTTCTCTATCACAAGTGCCATGGTCTCGATGAACTCCTGGAAACACATTGAGAAAGGCTACTCTAGAGAAATACTGCAGCAAACACAACAAAGAACTCATTTACCGTGACCTGAGTTTTTTATGAATTGAAGTTCATGTTATCTTGAATTGAAGCTATCAGAAGTAACAGAAGCCGCAGCTGATTGCAAAATTGTATTCTCAGACTTCCTATACTAGATTTTTTTTTATAGCTCAGAAGTAAAGGATGAGGTACACTGGAATAATGTGGAAGGATCGGTGTTTATTTTGTTGTCAGGGTAGTGGACTAATTAGGATCACTTATTCCGGTGATCGAGTAACTCCATTTAAGATGGATAAGGTGCTGGTTTTTATTGCTGCATTGTGGAAACAGCTAATTTCAAAAGGGGAAGTCTAATAATGTGATTATTATGAAGTGGTATGCAAGCCCAAGTCCAAATGCTATTGCTATTATTTATGTTTCCAAGTTACAATGCATTTGTCAACTCTGAAGCTGGCCTGAGCGAGACCATTTTCTGGGCTTCAGTGTTGCCATACTGGAGCTGAGGGATAGGGAAGGGAGAATAGATATAGATGGGGTTTGTAGCAAAAAAAAAAAATGTTTATTGTTAATTAGGTGAAAACCACAGGAATATTTAAAGAGAATATTTTACCAGTGTGTGTCAATATGATATATCCAATAAACCAGTACTTTGAGGAATCTATCTGCCTCGGAGTTAAATTTATTAT